CAGCGGTCTATTTATAGACAGCTGTGAGCTGTCAAATCGTAACGGACGGGATTCGAGGTCAGAATCCCGCCTAAACTCGACCCTCGCGTTCGAGTTGGTTGAGCTTCCAAACGCGAGGCTCACCTACGCGTTCAAATTCTCCAACGCAGGGCTCACCCACGCGTTCTAATCCTCAAATGCAGAAAGTATCTCCGTGTTTGGACCGCTATGATAGCAGCTTTTTGACTACCAAGGCTACGACACAGCCTCCAGATAAGTAAAAGAAGAGCTAACAACAATCATCAAGGCGATCAAAGCCGGGAAGAAACAGACGACTCAACTGGGGAGTCTATTGGAAAAGTACAGATAGATTATAATTAACAACATTGAAGTCATCTGGCTCGATCAGACGGAGTGAGCAATCGATCCACAAAATTTTGGGATCCAAAGTATTCCAAAAATTCATCCCAGTCAACCGCGAACTTTTGAAAACTTTGGAGGGGGTTCTGTAGGCTATCTAAAAATCATAATGGATAGCTGATCCCTATCAAGCTCCTACGATGAAAGTCACAATCAGATGGCTGTCTAATCACTGTATTCGCAATCCCACAATCACTACAAACACGGCCTCATTTCTGAGATGATTGATCTTGATGGTTGCGACAACAACATGACTAATATTATATTAGCAACTGTTAGAGATGCTGATGAACAGTGCAATGATTTTAGAAATAAAAGGTTGGACGTAGCTGGTGAGTTGCTTGGTAGAGAGCTGTGGGCAAATATTCATCTAAAAACACTATGGATGTTGATTCCCGTCAAGCTCCCACAACGAAAGCTACAATCAAATAGCTTTCGGGTCGACAAGGGAAAGCGGCGAATAGAGGATTTTTCACATAGGTCGAGAAGAGTTACAATTCAACGACACTTCCGACAACTGATGAAAACTCTATTCAGCAGTCTTCACATTCTACAGTGAAAGTTACAATCTGACGACTTTCACACCCCACAACAGCTAAAGCTAGGATTACTGAACAACGGTCCTCGCAACGCTTCACAGAAGAAGTTACAAGTCAAAAAGCTCCTTCTGAAATGCGGATGTCATCCCCGCATTACAATTCTGGAAATGCAGGCGACCCCCGCGTTTCTAAGTCACCCTCGCGTTCGTAGGGGTCCAACCAACACCGACCCCCACGTTTCTAAGCTACAACAAACCAAAACGGGAGCGACCCTCGCGTTCATCAATGTTCAGCCAACACCCAACCTCGCGTCTCAATTCTAAGAGGCGAAGTTGGGTTCTGAATGCCAGATTGGGCGTTTGACTCGTTCAAACACGAGTCAAACGGTTTCAGAACTGTTTCCCCACGTTCTGAGGAAATCACGCCCACTTAGGAGCGGATTTAGAGGGCAGTTACAACCTCTTATCCCCCTATAAAAGCTCAACAAACTCAACTGAGTTAAGGGCTGGCTTTTTGGAACGGAAGAGAGGGCAATAGGTTGGATTCTGAGGATCTCAACCACTCGGTTCGGTGATTCAACAGCAGCAGCATTAAAACCCTTGGAGATAGGATTTTTGAATCAAGTCAGAAGATCAAATGTGAGAAGATTCTTCAACAACAGAACATCAGCTTGGCCATTAACCGAATTTTTGGTTCTAACAACTCTATTAACAGAGTTCTAACTCATTCAGAGTTCTTAAACTCGTTGAAGAGTTACTTATAAAACTTTCCAAAGAAGTTCATCGTTCCCACGAGAAAAAAAAGACGGTCGGATCGTCAACGGAGAGCAAATTCGACGCGAGCAATCGAAGGAGGCATTTCATCGCTACCGAGAAGAACCCAGTTTTAAACAAAGGAGAGAATCAAATTCGTTCTCTTCTCTTTTGTAATCAAATTGTAATCAGAATCAAAGGAATACAAATCAATTTTCTTTGTTCTTTTCATTGCAATTCTCATGAGCCAAAGTTGTCCAGATTCGCCTGTATGATCGACTCGCCTGCATGAGTCAAGATCATCCAACTTCGCCCGCTTACTCGACTCGCCTGCACGACTCGAGAGCCAAATTCGTACCTGACGGCCTTTCCCCACTTCCCGTGATATAAGGGGAGGGTGCACAGTACTCGAAGCCCATCGAGTGGCCGCTCACAGTACGAGTGATCGGACAGGCGCCAAGTTAGCCTATACACTCATAAATGTAGTTCACCTCGCCCGTCCGAGTCGAGAGCTAGATCCGCCGGCATTCGGCGAGCTGTCCAAACTTACTCGAGTACTGATCAACCATCTTCCCACTTCTTGTGAGGTGAAGGGAGAGAGGGCACAGTATTCCAGATCAACATGCGCCCTCATAAATGCAGTTCACCTCGCATGTCCCAGTCAAGGTCTGGATTCACCGGCGTTTGGCAAGCTGGCCAAATGCACTCGAGTGTTGGGTAGTAGCTGTCTGACATATGAGAAGGGGTCTTTTCACTTCTACGTGACATGATGCGAAACACGGCCCCTCGAATGACCACTTATAGTACGAGTGAGCAGCAAGATACCTCTCAACAGTACATGGTCACATCCCATGATTCAAGGAGCGACCAAGTCGTCTCTCCTCTATTTAAGAGCCTCTTCCAGCCATAATGAGGAGGTTCGAAAAAAGGGGGGAACATTTAGCATAGAGTGGCTCAGCGTTCAGCAGTTCGCCTGTAGCTAATTGATCAATCCAATTAGTTAACCGAACCACTAGCTCTCGACTCTCGGTCGAGTCGACGACAAGCTCTTTGCATAACCCTTGCACTGTAGCGTCCTCCGCTAGTTACGAGCCCTGATCGCCGTCGAACTAGGAAATTCAAACTCCATTAACCCGAGCCTCTACTGTGTACTAAAGCTCGCCAGCAACCTCAGTCGAACCATCCAAGGGAAGCAGACTCGGTGCGAGAATCGAGCAAAGCATCCTGTAGCTACCGAAAGTCCCCACATTTAAACAAGGAGGGCATTCCCTCTGCTTCTGTTGTAATAAGCATCCTGTAGCTACCGAAAGTCCCCACATTTAAACAAGGAGGGCATTCCCTCTGCTTCTGTTGTAATTTTGATTAATTAGTTTGTAATAAGTCCCACATTTAAACAAGGAGGGCATTCCCTCTGCTTCTGTTGTAATTTTGATTAATTAGTTTGTAATAAGTCATTCTTATCAATGCAAATGAGTTCCCTACTTTGGGAGATCAAAATTTACACCTACAGAAGATGGAGACCACAGTGGAAGGAGTTGTTTCTTCAAACGAAACTGTGGTAGCTCAGTTCAACGAGGTTGTTGTTGAGATGACTGTGGAGTCCCTAGAAATCGAGTTTGACCAAGCCAAGTACGAAGAGTACTTGTCTTCTTCCTCTGGTGGTGATACATCCCGCAAGCGCCACCGAGTCGTGCGCAGAGGCCGACCTCAAACGGTCAAAACCTTCACGCCTGAGGGCTCTACCCGAATCTCATCGGGGGAACCTACTCCCTCAAAATTGACCAAAGTCAAGCCAGAAGTCGAGAGCACGGGGTGAAAGCCTACCAGATGGGTCACCAAACGACCCTCACAGACACCCGCCCCGGAAGGAGTGACGGTTCACTCCGGCACAAACTATACAGCCACAGCTCATGCGGGGTGCTCTTCTCTCTAAAAGAGCTCACCAGTGGCGACGGCAGGCACTCGCCAGACAGGAGGCCCAAGCCTTCGTCTCATACGACGGCCTGAACTATTACACAGGCCTGAAAATTGTTATACGAGAGGGCAACTCACCCGATACCGGAAGGTTATCCAAGTCAGGAGCACCAACTGGGAGGAAGGGGACCGTCCGCTCAGGTGGACTTCGCTTCTCAGGTCACATCCTTGATGCGAATTAGCCACCCTAGGCGAACGAACATACCCGAGTGGATGAACCCTCGAGGGTAGGCAAACCTCGCCATGACTCTTTGGCGAATAGGTGTAACGAACGAGAGGGCTTTGACCGAAAAGGCAAAGCAGTAGACGACACCTCACAAACCCGCCCGCATAAGCAAGGGGGTGAGTCTCTCCTGCACAACGGAGTTCGCCCAAACACGAGTACACGCCTGTTAAGGCGCACTCGCCCAACTCCAACACCTAAACATTCTAGCTAGTCTACCCAGTGTACAACAGAGGGCGCGTCCAAAACCCTCTTGTGCGATCACCTAGGCGACCCATCTGACATTGGGCGTTGTCACCAATCCCCCACAGAACATCTCCGGGGTTACTTGACTCGCAAGCGTACCATACATGAGGCGAATCCTTAGTGCCACTGCGAAAGACTTATCCAAATAGTACTCACCGACTGCCAATGTATAGGAACGGTGAAACCTTCGGTGTTTGAGAGACTCTCTTGACAACCTTCTCAACCGAGGCCCTCCTGTCGCCAAAAAATATGCATCACCTACGAGAAAGATCTCCTGTCCGCTACAATCAACATGACGGACAAGGGCAAGGCCATCCTTTCTGGCTCTCAAGATTCTAACTCCTTCCTGGGACCTAATCCTCTCCGCGTTCAACGTGAGCGAGACGGTATATACCGGCGCACTCGTAGTCGCACGGGGGTGAGCATCGGGTTTGATTATTCAACGTTGACGCCTCTCTCCAATAGTGAAAACAAGATTCACTCGGTAGCAGTTATGTCCCAGATGTCGCACTCAAGTTAGGACGCAGTGGCAAGGGTACGCATGGCTGAACTCACCCATGAACAGGCGGTGACCCAAAAGCTCGAAGAACAACAGGCAACCATTGACTCTTTGAGAAAGATGTTGGAGAAGCTTCTGAACAAGAAGAAGAAGAAAAAAAGTTCCCAGTGCACCTTACCCCGGCGAATAGGGGATGAGGATGGGTACCTCCCCGTCGTCCGGCGACCGAGATGGAAGATAATGCCGATCCGCCGTCCGGATTCTCTTCCAAGACATCGCTAGGAACGTCGTATACTGGGGATAACGCCCGCGACAAGAGGTTCGACGAGTTCCAAAACTAGCTCAACGCGCTGAAGCTTCAGCAGAACATGAACAAGCTGGGGGTGGTCCGACCCTATCCTGTCGAGTGGGATACGGTCCCCTATCCGGCGAAGTTCAAGCCAATTAGCTTGGTGCAATTTGACGGCAAGGGCTCGCCCTTGCAACACATTTATTACTTCATGGAGCAGACCGGGTTCCTTACGGGGAATGACGTTATTCTCACCCGGTTATTCATAGGCACCCTCAAGGGGGTGGCCTTTGAATGGTTCTGCAAGTTAGAACCTGGTTCTATTAAGTCATGGGCTGACGCCCAAAGACTCTTTTTGGCCTGCTTCTTTGACGACGACACGGAGGTGTCAATGGTCACCCTCCTCGCTAAGAAGCAGTGGAAGTCAAAGTCGGTCAACAACTTCGTGAAGAGGTTCAGGAACCGATCGGTCCACTGTCGGGACCAGGTTTCCGAATCAACACCGATCGAAATGTGCTGCAATAATCTCTCGATCCATATTCTGTCTAAGGTCGGCGTAGTGGAAACCCGGACCTGGAAAGAACTTGTTTGCCAAGGCGAGCAGGTGGAAAACATGATCAAGAGGTTGGAGGCCGAAGAGCCGCAGCCTAAGAAGGGAGCTGTGGAGCTGTCGGTGCCAAAGAATCCCCCTCAAACAAGAGGAAAAGAGATCATGGCCATTGACTCCGCCCCAGCTCTGAAAACCGTTCAAAGACCGAAGCCCAGACAATTCGAGCAACGCCCCCCACGGCAATACGACTTCAAAGAAGAACAGGTGGTGGCGACATTCGATACGCTACTCAAGAGCGGTCGAATTATATTGCCAGAAGCCGTGAAACCTGAGGAGGCGAACAAAACCAATGACCCGAGTTATTGTGCCTATCACAGATTCCGTGGCCACCACACGTCTAAGTGCTACATCCTCAAGGATAAACTCCAAGCCCTCTACGATGCAGGAGTCCTAAAGAAGGAGAAGGTTCAAAAGTAAGTGACCACGAATATGGTCACCTTGAGTTTTGGAACCGGTCTCCCGGAGGTTCAGGCTCCAGCGGGGATAATCCCTATCCCCAAGGCAGTCCTGAAAATCACTAACAACGATCCTCACAATCAAAGAGAAAGGGGTTAGTACCACAGATTTTGCCCTCGGGTCAGGTGATGTCGGTCCATCCGGACCTCCTCAACGATGAGCAATGGACTATAAAGCCCTTGAAAAAGGTTAAGGGAAAACCTTGCAACGTCGTCTCCGCTATCCTGGGTGGAGATAAAATAGTAATGGCCACCCCTACCAACTCTGAGGAGGAAACCACTGTCTTCACCACAAGAGCAGGGAAAGAATTCACGAAAGAGTATCCCACGACGGCAGAAAGCCCAGCAGGACCTCCTACGAGGCCAACCGTGGCAACCCCTCCAGAGCCAGACAGGCCGAGCTCGAGCCGTCAACCTTTTCGATTTAACGTGATCCCACAGCTGAGGAGCATCCCTACGCGAATTACTATGTACGACCTCCTGCGGCTATCCAGGCCTACCCGGGAAGCCCTACAAGAGGCGTTGGCCGACTCGGAGGCCTTCTCCACCCACTTCTCGAGGGAAGAGGATACAGAGAAGGAATGCACGACATGTTGCCAAACCTCCGAGAGGCGGGTCCCGTGCATCACTTTCACCCCTGAAGACATGCTCATCAAGAGCACGTCTCATGACCGATCCTTGTACTTCACGGGGTATGTCGGTTTGTCGAAAGTGGATCGAATTCAGGTTGACCCAGGCTCTGCATTGAGCATCGTTCCCCTAAAACTGATCAAACACCTGGGGATACCGCCAAAGCGTTTGTCCGTGACCACCATGACTATCTTTGGTTTTAATGCCATGGGGACTCGGCCACTCGACAAAATCCGCCTGAAATGTCGAATAGGCGACATGAAAACGGAAGTAACTTGCTACGTCATCGATGCCGAGCCATCCTACAATATGTTCTTAGGATGTCCGTAGATCCATGGCAACCGAATAGTCCCGTCCATGTTACACCAATGCTTGAAGTATGTGGATGCTTACGAGCAAGTGAAGACAGTAGTGGCCAACAAACAACCTTTCAAGGGCATCAAAAACTACTTCACAGACTCTCTGCTATACCAAGACCACGATGAGCCACCGGTTGAAGAACTGGAGAGCGACAATGAGGCAGATAGTGAACCGGAGTACGGCGATAGTCTGATCTTGAACGACTTTGAGTCAATTGTAATCAGTTACGAGAATAACAATGTAACCAACACTGTTCAGGCGGAGGAGATTATCATGAATGAGAAGTCCAACTTTGCTTATTTGTCGTCTTGTTCCATATCTGAGGATGATGCGCCTAATAACCTAGTGTCAAAACTCCGTAATGATCCCTCCCTGCACTTGCCCGTATGCTCGTCACATGTTGCGAAGGCCCGACCGATCGAGTCGTCGCAAGCTGTACTCGTCGTGCCAGCCCAGAATAACTATCAAGAAGACATTATCTTTGGGCGTATCGACCACCCCTTGCGCATGCTGTGGGACAAGTCTGAAGACGAGGACCCCACGCCTCAGTTTTCACAATACAGTCAAGTCGCAAAGCGCATGATGAGCGACATGGGGTATGACCTCACTTGTTTAGAAGGCCTAAATTACGGCCGAGGGTGCAAGACGATCATTAGGCCCGCTTACGTGCCTAAAGGTAAACACTCAAATTACTTCAACAAGACTCGGAGAGGCTTGGGCTACTCTTCTTCCTCATCGGATCTATTCTGTTATGTCAACGAGGATTCCGACTATGCGTGTTCGGGGGACCAATCATCGACAACCTCGGCATGGGACTCCGACATTAGCGTAAGGGACCTCTTCGACAACCTTACGGTCAACATGGCTGCAGTCGATCCCGCCAAAATGGATGAGGATGAACAAGTCCCGCTTTATGATGAGACATAGGATCGTCACGTTAACGCTCAGTAGAATAGCCGCTTCGAGCAACGTGAACCACCGACTGAAGATGAAATCCTCCAGGTAAACATGGGTGATGAGTGTAGGCTATCTAAAAATCACAATAGATAGCTGATCCCTATCAAACACCAATGACGGAAGTTACAATCTGACGACTTCCATAAGGCTACAATTTGAGGACTTTCACGTAGATCGCTGAAGGTTACAATCTGACGACCTTCACAACAACTGATGAAAGCTCTAATTTAACAACCTCCACAATCAACATTGGGAGTTACAATCTGATGACTCTCATATTTTTAAGGAGCCGAGACGAAGGTTACAAGGTGACGACCTTTGCAACGCTCTAGCAAAAGAGACTACAAATTGACGGTCTTTTCATATTAAAACGCATATATCTCTCAAACCGTAAGGAATTTGGCAAAATGGAGGAAGCGAACCGAAGCCTTTGGCTGGGTTCGGATGGCTCTGTCTCGTCGAGATAGCCGATTTTCATATATAATTCGTCCAATTCTGACTTACGGTTTGAAAGTTATGACCTGTTCTTCGCAGCAAGTTATGTTCTGAAGTCCGTCTGCAAGACCGGACTTCGTCAGATCATTAGACTTAGCCTAAAGCTCGCCAATCCCACCTAAGGTTCGCCTCTGCATTACAGAGTCAAAATGCACAGATCGAACCAGCGTTATAACCTCAAAACGCAGAGGTTATCCTCGTGATATAACATCAAAACGCAGAGTTACGGCCTAACTGTGTGTTTTCAGCCTAAAACAGGCCCAACTCTGTGTTTTCAGCCTAAAACGCAGAGTTCATCTCTAAAACAGCATGACCTGTGCGTTTTCAGCCTAAAACAGGCCCAACTCTGTGTTTTCAGTCTAAAACACAGAGTTCATCTCTAAAACAGCATGACCTGTGCGTTCTCAGCCTAAAAAAGGCCCAACTCTGCGTTTTCAGCCTAAAACACAGAGTTCATCTCTAAAACAGCACAGCATGTGTGTTTTAACTCCCAGCGAGCGCCCAACTCTGCGTCTCATCTCTAAGACGCAGAGTTAAGGTCCAGAACGCCAATTTAGGCATTTGACTTGTTCAAACACGAACTGAACAGTTCCAGGAACTATTTTTCCTCACGATTTGAGGGATTTCTGCCCCACTTAGGAGCGGATTAAGAGGGCAGTTACCACCCTTAATCCCCTATAAATAGGAGAAACTCAATTGAGTTAAAAGATGGGATTTTTTCTCATCAACAGAGGTAAATTCGGTTAAGGGCTGGCTTTTGGGATCTTAGACATGGCAGCAAAGGGGGAATTTCTTGGAGATCGGCATCATTCTCTAAGGGAGATCATCTTCAAGATCGGCAACATGAGCATTCCCTTGGCTGATTAACCGAATTTTTTGGTTCAAATCAACTCTTTTTCAAGAGTTCAAACTCGTTCAGAGTTATCAACTCGTTTAGAGTTATCAACTCATCCAGAGTTTCCAACTTGTTCTGCAAGTTCTTCTAAAACTCACTCTGAGTTATTAACTCGTTAAGAATTATTTTCAAACTTTCCACATAAGTCCTCCACAATGTCAAATCATAAGGAGAAGACCACGTTCCAGCGAATCAAGACGTTCGGATCGTCAACAAGAAGTAAACTCGACGTGAGTATTCGAGGGAGGCATCTCATCGCCACCGTGAAGAACCCAGAATTAAACAAAGGGGCGAATCTAGATCATTCTCCTCTCTTTTGTAATCAGGAAATCCAATTGTAATCGAGATTGAGAGAGTTGTAATCATTCTTTTTCTAAGCAGTTAGAGAGAATAAATCAAATACGATTCTTTCATTATTTTTCTTGTTACTACAAATTTTTCCACAAACAATGAGGCGAACCCTAAACCCATATTCATTAGTGGCAGTCTACCACCTCAGGAAAAAGAAAATCTCATTGCCCTCATACGGGAGTACATCAACATCTTCACATGGAATTACGAGGACATGTCTGGCCTTGACCCGCGGGTCGCTATGCATCGCCTCAACATCATCCCAGACGCCAGACTAGTCAAGCAATAGCAAAGGCGGTTCCATCCGCAAATCATGGAGAAGATTGAGGCCGAAGTAGAAAAGCTGATCGAATCCGGCTTCATCAGAGAGGAACAGCACCCCGACTGGGTAGCCAATATTGTTCCAGTCCTAAAGAAAAACGGTAAGATCCGCATGTGCATTGACTTTAGGAATCCCAACGCTGCATGCCCGAAGGACGAGTTCCCTTTGCCCATCACGGATGTCATCATTGATAACACGTGTGGATTCGAGAGGATGTCCTTCATTGATGGTTTCTCAGGGTATAATCAAATCAAAATGCACCCCGAGGACAAAAAACACACTTCATTCAAGACTCCCATGGGGGTATATTGCTACACAGTCATGCCCTTCGGAATCAAAAACACTGGCGCAACCTATCAACGCGCCATGAGTATGATCTTTCGGGATTACCTGCGAAAGACGGTCGAATGCTATATGGACGACTTGATCGTGAAGAGTCGCTGCAAAGGTGACCACCTCCAAGACTTAAGGATGATGTTCGAACTCATGAGGACTCATCAAATCAAGATGAATCCTACAAAATCATTCCTAGGGATGTCTAGTGGTAAATTCCTCGGGTTCATCGTCACGACGAAAGGAATCCGGATCGACCCGGACAAGGTACGAGCTATTCAAGAGCTTCAACCGCCCCAAAACCTTAAAGAACTAAGGGGTATTCAGGGACGATTGGCCTACATTCGAAGGTTCATCTCGAATCTTTCGGGCAAGTGCCAACCCTTCTCCAAACTAATAAAGAAGGGTACTTCCTTCATATGGGACGAGCCTTGTCAACGGGCATTTGAGGAAATCAAAGCCTACCTCTCGAACCCACCTGTCCTCGCGCGGCTCCGATATTAGAAAAACCATTCCTCATTTACATACGGGCCATGGATCATTCCCTAGGTGCCCTCCTGACATAAAATGACGACACTGGCCACGAGCAAGGCATCTACTACCTAAGTAGGACCTTACA